GCCACGGACTTTTATATTTAATAGGTATGTACTCAATTATTTATGTAATTTATGTTTTATGAAAAATACTGACTTTTTGATATTTGTCATAGATATTTTGCTTATCAGGTCTGGTGTTGAACTAAACCCTGGACCAAATATATTGAAACGAAACTTACGTATTGCGCATAATAATGTATGTAGTGAAAAGTATAACAAAAAAATGTCTTCAATGATTGATAAATCAATCCCTCCTGGAAAATGGTGGAGAATTGTTAAGTCGCTATCAAAACTGAAAAAAAATTATGAACCATTACCACCTCTAAAATCAAAAGGTAAACTTATCTTCCATCCAGTTGAGAAGGCTACAGTCCTTAATAAATATTTTGCACAAGTTTCTTCTATTAATGATGAACCAGACATTCCTCTTCATGGCCCTGGTCCACCATCACAGAATAATGACATTCTATCTGAAATACTTATCACTGAAAATGAAGTCTATGATCAATTAAGTATCATTGATAACACTAAACCACCTGGTCCTGATGGTATTTCCCCAAGAGTGTTGAAAGAAATAGCCACTACAATTAAAAAACCTTTGACTAAATTCTTTAACTTGTCATTAAGGGGGAAAAAATTGCCAGATATTTGGAAACTATCTCAGATCACACCCGTCTTCAAAAATAAAGGCAGTGCTCAAGAAGTACCAAATTATAGACCAATATCCCTTACAAGTGTATTGTGTAAAATAATGGAAAAAATATTGTTTAAACATTTACATAATTTTATGAATGACAATAATGTAATTTACAAGTATCAGTCAGGCTTTCAACCGGGGGACTCAACTGTTAATCAACTTGTAGAAATATATAACACTATAATTTCCAGTCTTGACAAAGGAAAAGATGTAAGATTTATTTTTTGTGATATCTCAAAGGCATTTGATAAAGTTTGGCATAGAGGACTTTTATCTAAACTGAAAAATTACGGTATTAGTGGTAACATATTAGGTTGGATTGAAAATTATTTGTGTGATAGACAACAAAAAGTTGTAATTGATGGTTTTTCATCAAACCATGAAACAGTAAATGCTGGTGTTCCTCAAGGTTCCGTTCTGGGACCATTTCTCTTCCTTTTGTACATAAATGATATTTGTGATGATTTAGTTAATAATATACGACTTTTTGCTGATGATACTTCCTTATATGCCATTGTGGACAATGGAGCCACAAATGTAACACAATCCCTTACTAGTGATCTTGAACTTATTGATAAATGGTCAAAAAATGGCTAGTTGATTTTAATCCAAACAAAACTGTTAACGTGGACTTTAGTCGTAAAAACATGGTATATCCCCCTATCAAATTTGGGGAACATGGTCCAAACATAATTCAGAATATATCTCATACCCATTTAGGTCTACACTTTCAAAGAGATGCTACGTGGACATTGCATATACAATCAATTCATGGAAAAGCTACAAAAAGACTAAATATCCTCAGAATGCTTAAGTATAAGGTTAGGCGGAAAACACTTGTTAAGATATATTTTGCATTTATTAGACCTGTTTTAGAATATTCCGATGTTGTTTGGGACAATTGCTCTGAAAAAGACTCAAAACTTTTAGAAGATATTCAAGTTGAAGCAGGTAGAATTATCACTGGGTTAAGATGTAACTCCTCTCGTTCAAAACTGTATGATGAATTAGGGTGGGATCTTTTACAAACAAGAAGGAAGGTTCATAAATTGATATTGTTTTATAAAATTATAAATGGCTATTCACCTCAATATTTGCATGATTTGATTGAGCCTTATCGCCCATCAAATCATTCCTATAATCTAAGAACCAGTGATGCACAATTTAAAATTCCTCATATTAGAACTACATCATACATGGAAAGTTTCCTTCCATCAACAGTTAAACTATGGAATAACTTGCCAGATCTTATTAGAAATGCTTCTGGAATATCATCATTCAAAAGTCTTTTGAATTCTTATTTTTGTAAAAAAAGTAATGAACTATTTCATATTGGAATAAGAAAATACAATATAATACATTGTCAGTTAAGGAACAATGCAAGTAATTTAAAGGCAGACTTATATAGCCAATGTTTATCAGAAACACCAATGTGTGAACACTGTATTGATTCTGTTGAAGATGCTTATCATTACTTTTTCGCTTGTTCAAAATATACATCTTATAGAGATATACTTTTTCAAAGAATTCAAAATATTACTGACTGTAATCAGGTTTCTGAACTTAAATTATTATTATATGGTAGTCCTGATCTTGGACTCAATATTAATATACAAATTTTTGAAGCAGTACATGCATATATAGCAGCAACAAAACGTTTTACTTGAACACTGTCATGTAAATGTATATATAACTTTTGTCAATTTTTCCAAACCGGTACTTCATTGTATTTTTTTTCCCGTTTTTTTCCTCGCATTTTTTAAATGTTTGTTTAATTAATGTTATGCAGTGTATTTACCTTGACCTTGCTGTAGGGAGAGGGCTAAAATAGGCTATGCCTGCTGCCTAATCCCATTCACTTCATGTGAATAAAATTATGTATAAATAAAAAAAAAATAAAGTGAACCAGTGTCCAAAATAATTGTCTTTGAAAATACTCTCAAAACATCACTTTCTACAATTATTATTTCACCTTTTCTGGTGGAAAGTTTTCCCAGCCTCTGAAGCTTGAACTGCTAGGTAACTTGTAAAGATGAAATAGGTAAAGATAAAGAATGGTGATCGATCTCAAAACAAACAAACACAAACAAACAAACAACATTAAAAAACTTCAAACGATACAAATCTGTGAACTGTGCATAAAAGACGGACCCCGGAAATTCTAGAGGAGGAATCAGGTGCCTAGCTAGGAGGAGTAAGCGTAAAGGTAATTTTCTCTGCAAACTGTGTTCCTCAGTAGATTTATCAAAGAATAGTAAATCATTTGATGGTGATAGTTTTCCTGGTCTGTGTCAGAAAAAAAAATCTGTAAAAAAAAAAATCTAAATTGGTCAGATTAAAGTCAGGGCTCTAGGAACTCGCAAACTTGCACACTGTAAAGAAAAAAAAAATATTTAAAAATCTTTTACTCTAAACCAGTAATAAAGAAAATTGTAAAATGAATATGATAATATCCTCTTTTATATAGATTCTTTTTTATTTTTGTTTCTTACAACTATTGTCGAAGGTTGCCTCTATTTCGGAGAATCATTTCCTATAGTTCGAGTATTTTACACTCCTGCTTTGTAGACATATATGTATAGTTATAAATGAAGTTTGTATATATTTGGCAATGTCCTAAAGCGTCTGATAATACAAGATTCATTGCATTAAGGAGACACATATCCTTCTCCAATTTTCACTGACATCTCGTGGTCATTAAAGCTCAATTTGATTTTTTTTCCCTGTACCACGATTATAGTAAATGAGAAAAAAAGAAGAATTTACATGAAAAATATCGTCTCAATTCTGACCAAGTATTTGTTGTATGTCACTTGTTTGATATGAAATTTTACGCATAGTCCATAATTTGAGCTAAGTTGTAAATAGCCGAAACAATGGGCTGATTCTAAATTCAATCTAATTTTAAAGAGTTAAAAATTTTAGCAGTTTCTTTATTTTATTTCGATATCATATTATCCATGTCTTATTATTTTGAACAGCTTTGGCAAAGGAAGTAAAGCATATGCTTCTTTTTATTGACATTTCAAGAATTTCTTTTCTTTGACATTCCTGAAAAAATACCACTCATTCTATATTACTACGCAAATTAATAAAAAATATGAATATTGCAATTAAATTTTGTTTTGCGTTGACAGACCTTTTCACCGTCACAGCATTCATCAGGGATGTTGTATGAGAATGTCACGAGCCGTGACAAAATCTGCCTACTCCTAACATTTATCTGAAGAAATAGCCCCCAAAAACTCCACACGAGAAGTCACATTCATATTTTCGCGAATTATCGCAGTCAGAAAAGTCTGTGAATGACAAAAAAATCCGACTTGCGGGATTGCATTTGATAAGCAAACGAAGATCTGGCGTGCCAATAAAAAGTAAGAAAAATCCGTTAATTAAAGTTTGGGAACAAAATTTTTCCGATAACCCTGAGATGAATGTCTTGAATGGGGGTCCTCCTATCGACATACTGCCAACAGAGCAACAGGAAGTCTACCGCAAAGGTCAAGGTTCAAATCATTAAAACATTTCTTGGAAAATCGTAATAATATCAATCACAAAATACACTTCTTATTCAGCTCAAAAAGGTAAAACAATATTTTTTTATCTTCATTGGTTACCATACCTAAGATTTCTTTTAGAAAAAAAGAAATTGTTTTGAAGAAACAAATTTATTGTAAACTACACACGTCATAAATGTTTTGACCGATTTTCGATTGAGAATTTTCCAAGTATCAATATTACCCTGAAATAATTTTGTAAAAACGTTACCTAATGATCATTTTCTAGAACGGCTTTTATCCTGTCTGATTTTTCAGTTACTTCATACACCTGTTACACATTTCTATATCCTTGATTCATCTGACATGTGTATTTACTTTTATTCTGCGTTGAAATGATCCTTCATCAACCCATTCCACATAATTTCTCATTTAAAGATTGTAATTGTTTTCTTAAGTGACTCTGAAATCTTATACAGGTTAAATAGAACATTTCTACCATTCGTACAAGTATAAACGGGGCTCATGCTGCCGTCAGTCAATTCTTGGCGGAAAGAAGAGTCTACAATACTGAGTTTGTTTTTTGTATAAAATTTCATGCAAAAGGAGTTTTCAGATTGAATTGGTGCCGCCATTCTAGGTGAAGAAATTCCAAAACAGACATTCTTGACATCTGTTTGGAGATGACGAACAGAATTAAATTAAAATTTGAATGATGAGCACACTTTTACTCCTCCAGGTCTATAAACTTGATCTTTTCGGTCCTTTTGTGAATGGATTAATTTCATTACATCGGGTTAGATCCGTGATGTATGGCGGAGTAATTATTTTCCGGCAGCTGAATGAGTGAATAAGAGTGGAATCGTTGTGTATTGATAAAAACCTCGGGGAGAGGAAGCAACGAGAGACAAACGCTCACCAGACGTTGATCTTAATTCAAGTAGTCCGCGTCAAACGTCAACACGGAGTACGACAATATTGACGATGGGTGAGTGGAAGATATTTTTTCTTTTGCGATCCAGAATTTTTTATAGCTGATTTTTGTTTTCAAAATTACATTTCTATTATTATTTTTCTCAGCTTTGTAGTCGTTAAAAAAAAAAAGAAAAAAGAATAAATATTGTTCTAACTTCAATTTAATTTGATGAAGAGAATTTAATTTTTGTTTCACAGAAGAAAAACAAATTGCAAGAAGTATCATTTGAGTATCATTTTATAATCTTTTATGGTATCATCTTGAGAGACTTTGGGTAACAATGTGAAATCTTGGTAAATCATCTATAGAGACTAAAATGAAATGTCTGTTGTTTTGTGTTCAATATCAGTAAAGCGGCTTTTGTTAATTGTCGGAAATACTTTTTTGATAAAAATCCGTACACGAGGACGAGTTTTAGTATGAAACTAAATACACCAAAAACCCATTAATTTTACGCAGAGGTTTCCTTGGGGTTACTTTTTAAAATGTGATAAAGCCATTAATTAACTCAGTGTTATTAATTATCACATCATTGTTTACTTCTCACTATGTGTTTTCTGTATTGAATTATATCGAGATGAAGAGAGGCGAATTCATCAATAGACGAGGTCTTTACAACATGCTTAATAATGACTCAGTTATGTGTAATAAAATCACTCAACTTTATAGTCGTCAAAGACAGCAAGGAAAGGGATGTTTTAAATAGAAGATGAACTCAATTATTTAAAGAGAATATTATGATTAAGCCACATAGCTAATGCGCAGTATTATAAATCCATATGCCGCAGATAAAGAGAATCTGTTGATATCGGATTATTCTTCTTCGGCGATATTCTTTACTCTCCTATTATGCAATATTTTTCATTATCTTTGAATTGGTTTCAGTTCAGTCAAAAAGGAAATAAAAAGTCACACTCTCTGTTCACATAAATTAGAATACTTTTACATTTCTATATATTTCTGGTTAAGGAAATTAAAGAAAAAACTTTATACGAAAAACAAATTTAATTTTTCTGTCTGTCAAATGGAAAAATTACTTTTAAAAACATTGTAGAAAATCCTTAGCTTATCTAAAAGATTTTGTATTTTTGTTTTACAATAGTTAAAATGTGAGTGGGATAAAGTTTAAAAATATCCCCAAGGATTTGTCATTTAACAATAACTCAATTACTGAAGGATTGTTTCATAATATTCCAATGTAATGTAACTTAATGCAATTTTCAGAGGAGTAAGCTTCTAAAAAGAATTTGATTTGCTTGAACGTTCTTCGTGGAAACGCGAAAGACGACTAATTGTGTGAAGGGAGAGCACTTCTGTCCATTATGTCTTATCTAAGTCCAGAAAAAACGACTGATATGATGGATGCCACTTAATCCGACCAATTTGTAGCATTAACAAGGCACATTAAATCAAGTAGCAATTGAATCATATGTATCAGTCAGACCCTAAATAGACACACACAGGGAGGGGATGTTTTAAATAGACACACACAAGGCAGGGGATGTTTTAAGGACGTTGGATCCTGAGCTTTTGAGCAGATTTTGGTTTTGAGCTTTATTTCTAAAATTCTGCATTATTTTTAAGTTCTAACATTAAATCTGGATTCTACAATGCAAATTATACTATATCCAATGAAAAAACTGCAATTAAATTCCATTCAAATAGGATTAAGCCAGGAACTATATTTTGTGGCGGAAGGTTTTTTAAGAAGAAAATGATCATTTTTTCCCTTTTGAAATATATACAGTACTGTTAAGTTTAGATTCCTATTTTTCCATGCTGGTTGCACACAGAGCTATTTTGTGCATTGAAATGTTTAATGCTGGTTCTAAAATATTAATTAAATCAGTTTTTTGTGAATTCTATCATCATATTGTGACAAATATAGAAAATATATTCTGAAACTCCAGGAAAAAATTGAGCCAATTTTATCATAAAATTAACAGTTTTTTAGTAATATCTAAAAAATAACATCATAGACCTCCACTTTTGATTTTCTTTTCTGAATATATAAGATAACTCTGATCAATCTACTTAAATTCAGCAAAAGTTTAAGACTTTAAAATATTTTTCTTGCTTGTTAAATTTTTAATGCCCGAAAAATGACATTTTGTGAGTGCAGAAAGGTCAAATAATTGATTATGCGAAGCAATTTGAAATATTTTTTTGGTCACAATTTTAATGTGTCTTTTTTAAGAAAGAATAATAGCATACTTTGTCCCATGATTTATTTGGATAAAAAATATTGGAGGGAAAACGTCGAAGATGTTATTTTTGATTAAGACACAAATTCAGTGCAAAAAGGTCATATTAAATGTACTGTAGCGCCAAAAGAAGCATATTGACCCCCATTTTTTGTTTTGATTTTTAATTAAACTATGTGTGTAGAAGCTAAAAATATACTTGACAAAAAAAGTTTAAGACTTTAAATATCAGGATCCAACGTCGTTAAATAGATTAAAATTTAGGATGCGGAACTAACCTCACCAACACGATTCGCGTGGCCAGAATTAGATAAGAGGTGTAGAAGAACACTATAGTTTATATTATCACTGTTAGGCGTGGTGAATTGAGTTATTCTATCCAGAACAGACCCGGAAACAAATATTGTTATATTCCAGAATAAAATTTTAATAGCTGTGTAAATTTTTAGCCCTAAACTTACACGAGCAGGTGGTAATTGTTCAAGGTAAAAAAAAATCCTAAAGTTAAAAAAAAACTAATGTATTTAAATGGTTGACAATATCATAGCTAAATCACCTTTCCAGACTAAGAGAATTACATTTCTCTTTGGTTTTAGGTCTGTATCATGAAAATAAATCATTTGTTTAAATTCAAATATCCTTCTTGTTCATGACTTAAACAACAAAAGCACTTATTAAATATGTGCATGTGCTGCATTACCATCAGAAATGCAAAATATATAATGACAAATTAGAACTTTAAATATATAAAAATTAAATTCAATTTGTGAACTAAGTATATAGAGCAAAACTTTATTCATTGAAAGGTTTTGAATTAATTACGAAAACAAAACATTCTCTCGGCAGGAATTATTCTATGGTAAAAAAAAAAAGAGAAGATTTTTTTGGATTTGAACCCAAGCGATAAAAATCTTGAGAATCGGTTTTCCTTCAGATAGACTGACACTACAATACACAACTCATATCATTTGTGATATGATCCTTGGATAAGTAGATTTCTCGGGAAAATACGAACTTTGTGTCACAAAAATGTATTTTAAAGGTAGATTGGGTTCCTACACCTTAACAAAAAGTTAAGCAAAAAATGCACAATTTTAAACATACTTGGAAGATATACTTTCAAAAAAAAAAAAAAAAAAAAAAAAAAAAAAAAAGAGCGAAGACCAGACCCACTTTTATAGAAAAATTGTCATAGTATTAGGAAATGATCATTTTTGCCCTCTTTGATGTGTGGATGCTATTTCCCACACGAATAATTATAACGCGTGTGAGATTGTTGTATATTGAGGAGATTTTACATAAATTTATATCCATTAATGTTAAGTGAAATATCAAAGAAAATTGTGTTATAATTGAGATTCAATTTTTCACTTTCTTATTTGTCGAACCATAGGCATCTTCTCGTCCATCATCTTTAAACCCCCCCCCCCCCCGAAAAAAAATAAATATCGTTTTTACCCATTAACTAAATAGATTTTAATGGTCGGCTTCGGTTGTTCACAGCTGATTCCATGTGTGGCAGCCGGCAAATGTAACCATTTGCGCATATATGATGCCACGGACTCCTTTGTTTCCTATGCACTGACAGCTTCATATCAATTTATCATAATATGTTAAGTATTAAGATTAAGGAACTTTTTAAAAATGCATTTACATGTACTGGTATACAGCTACATGGTGAATAAACTTATTTTTTGCAAGGATTCCATTTACAACCCTGACAACGGAAGTAATCCCTTTGGTGGCAGGGGATAGTTTCGTACTAGAGACCCGTTCAAATTTCTTACAAAAATGAGATATCCCTTGTTTGATGCGATATTTCATGAAGAAAAACGAAAAAGAATGCTCATGGAGTGGATGTGCAGTGTAGCAGAGTGCTTATTGAGAAAAATGATGTACCTCCAACATTGAGGTATCACTGAAATGTTTTGCATAAGCAAAACTAAGACATGCTTCCAGTTGCCGAGGAGATTTAGCTGGAAAATAAGGCTTAGAAGAAGGTCTGTATCTTAGGGGTAAGGTGAATGGGCCCAGATCAATTGGTGAATTTTCATCAGGACATACATTGATCAACAGAATGCTCAGGACTAGGATGGGCTGCATGGGTGCGGCGGATGAGGCCCAGATCTTGAAAAACAAGCCAAAATCGGGGAAGGTCCCCAAGTGCATTTTTGGTACACGTGCACTCCAATAATGTTGACATCTTTTTTGAGCTATGGGTTATAAGAAATGCAGGCCCCCCAAAAACTGTCCCCACGTATCTGTTTTTATTTAACCTCACGTACATATGTGCCTACCTGTACCCTTTTGCACATGTCCAGCATTTTAAAAAAAAAAATACTGTCCTCTGCCACCGATCCCTTCAGCATTAAGTTTATTAGTTCATCGGTGTTTCGAGTAAGTCTAACATGTACATTCCTTTATTCATTAGGCGACTGACTGTTCTGTACATTCTGTGCCAGCCATTACGTAGGCCACAAGTCTGACAACTAAATATAACACTTCTCGATCACTTCCTTTGAAAGGAGTACTTGTACCCATCTATTTAGCAAATATATCCCTCTCACTATACATGTACCTGAGTACGCAGCCTTCCTCTGGTTTCGAGATATACGGAATCCTATAACCTTTATAGTACAGTTACTTATAAAATAAATAGTGAAACCAACAGCATTTGTCCTTATGAAAGAAGCATTACACTTTTCAAAGAAGGATACGATATTCTATTTTTGACGACTTCCTGGAGGTGACGTCACTAAAATGTAACGCTTGGAGTAATTCGCTCGTGCTTGTTTCGGCTTTTCTCTT